CCAGTGGGTCTGGGAGGGGCGGGGGAGGGGAGTGCACAGGGATTCCCAGGAGTATGAAAAAAATAATAATAACAGTAATCGTCGTCGGCGTTCAATTGTTGACATACATTATCTCATCAGGGCACGTGACCCCCTGGGGAGGAGGCAGGCGGGCAGCTGCGGGGGGAGGGCCCAGCTGAGGTCCAGCTGGAGGTAGGAGGGCCCGCTGCGGACCGGACCGCGCCAGCGAACCCCAGCCCAGCCAGCCCTGCCCAAGGCCGAGGCCTGGAAAAGGACAGAGCTGACGGAGGAAAGCAGCGATCCTCTGCCCCGCCTCCTCTTCCCTGCGTCAAAGCGCTCGCTCGGGTCACTTACGTACCATAGCAGCACATTTAGTAATAATTTTTTTAAAAACTGATTTATACCTTTCAGGACAGATCCGTGGAATCTAATTAGCCGTGGAGGCCAGTCTTGCAGCCTGAAAGTCTTTATTTATTTATTTTTTAAAATTAAATTGCAGGAACTGTAAAACTATAAAAATAAATAAATTAACCATTAAGGATGCCTAATGCTGTCCAGGGAGGTTTAATCTCATTGGGCTGGAAGGCAAGTATGGTTACAGGCGATGAAGAGTTAGGATGCTGATGAGTTTGGTGGCGCAGGGAACAGAGGCAAGGATTCAGGGCAGGAGGCGGCCACAGGAAGGGGAAGGTGGGGGGCCGGAACCCACGGGCCCTAGTGCTGACCCCAGATTGAGTGACAGGGTGCAGCTGGGAGAAGCCTCCACCCACCCAGCTCCCAAGCTCACACACTGCATCGGGCAGCGAGTGCCCTTTAAGCACCTTCCATAGCAGAGTCCATGGCCAAGTGCATCTGTTAATCACAGCGGCGTCCTGAACGTGACGCCGCTGTCACTCTCCCACAGTCACGCCCCGCGTTGGGCGGACTGCACATGGCAAACCTTGGCTGCCAATTCGCCCCATAATCAGATCAGCCTGTCCTGCCTCAGCCCGCCTCGCTGCCAGCAGGCCAGAGCCAGGCCAGAACACCAGGGCGTTCTCGATACTCAAGACTGGAACCGTGTCAAACCTCTATCAAGTCGTTAAAAGGCTAACTCTGGAGACAGCCGGCCTGTATTCCAATCCCAGCTCTGCCCCGCAGAATCCACGTAATCTTGGGCAAATCCCTCAACTTCTCTAAGCCCCAGTTTCCTGCTTTGTAACACGGAGAATGATCAGAAGACCTACCTCAAGGGTCGCTTTGAGGATGACCTGAGTTCATTCTTCCTGGCGGATATTAAGAACCAGATAAGTGTTTGCGCTGTTACGAAGAGTCCACATCATGCGAAGAGTCCACATTATGCGAAGAGTCCACATTATGCGAAGAGTCCACATCATGCGAAGAGTCCACATTATGCGAACCGTCAGCCTCGTGTGAGGACTCCCTGCTGTCCGGGGAAGAGCTGGAAGTGAATAGCTCACACGATCAGACGTGTCAGTGAGAGGTGCTCGCGAGTGCTAGAAATCTTAGAAGAAAAAGCAGACTGACTGCCCATCCAGGGCCGAAATCTTTCTAAAATGTCTGTGCATTCTTCTGTGTTCTATCGGGAAACTTTCAGAGACTTAGAACTTTCGTTTTTGACCATTCGATTTTGACAGGTCGTCATTAGAATATTCTTCCTGATGTGACAAGACGGAGATATGGCCATCATTAGAATTCCTTTTGACGGAATCGTCTTGTGTATGGACCAGAGGGCTTGCCCCTCCAACTGCCATCTAAAGAAGGTGCATCTGCTTTGTTGAGCTCGGAACTGAGTTTTTATAGACATTCCGAAGCTCGGGATGAGCTAAATCCACTTGTGTGACAGTTGAGAGAAGCAAAGGAAGAAGAATTTCAGTAGCTGGATTGGGGCTTGGGAAACCACATATTTCTACTACTTGTTTTCTTTAAAGACTGAAGTCTTTATTTCATTTTCTAGAAATGATACACACTTATACAAAGAGGTACGGAGAAGAAATTAATGTCACCTGAAAGTGTGCCACTGAAGTAGTTATCGTGAACATTTTTGATGGACATCCTTCTAATGTGAATTCCACATTGCTTGATGTTGGTGTTTAATATAAACACCACGTACTGAAAAGCCAGTTGGCCTTCTCGCCGCTTCCACCGGGCCTAGGACAGCTCTTCTAGCCACACACGAGTCTCCTCTCTCTTCCAGAAACGATGCTTCCACGCCCCGCCCCCCCCGTATGGGATGCTCGGTCACAGAGCAGCACTAATTTCTTTAGAGATTTATCGGAGATCTGACCCCAACCTCTTTACTATTCCTCCTGGGCGAGATCCCATGGGTTCGCCCTGGTGTGTCAGCATCCCTTCGACAGACAAGCTGCCTCCCTGTCTGGAGCAGAATCTTCCCAGGTGCAGTCTGAGAGGACAAAGAGCTGGCAAATGTCACCTCCCTGTGTCTGTCACGCGAGGAGCTGTTATGGAACTTGGGGCCACATGTACACAACCCCGCCCTTCATCCTCACATAGTTTTTCTCACCTTGCTGCTGTGAATTCGCATCTCTCCAACTCTGGTCTCTGTTAGATTTTAAGGTGAAAAAAATACCTATTTTATTGAAGATTTCATACAAGAGATGGGGAAGAGAAAGGTTATGTCACATAAAGCACGGTATTTATTTCTATCTAGAAAATCCATTAGACAGATGTACTGTCTTTTCCAAGCCTGTGTCCAGCTGGCCCCGAGTCAGGGCGGATCCAGGTGTTGTGGGGCCTGAAGGTTATACAACAGTTCGATGGGTCCTCTTTAAGAGTACAAAATCGGGTATGAAATAAATATTTAATTAGAATGTGATAACCAATTACAAATTTCTAAAAACTGACAAATATCTAAACATGTCAAAACCTAGAAAAACATTTTCTCACATCTCGCTGATCTGTTCATTCATCAACGGACACAGAAGTTGCTTCCATACCTCGGTTATTATAAATAATGCTGCAGTGCGCCTCGGGGTGCAGATAGCTTTTCAAGTTACTGTTTTCATTTGCTTTGGGTAAATACCCAGCAGCGGAATTGCCAGATCACGTGGTAGTCCATCTCTCTTTTAAAATAAACTAATTTAATTTTAAAATCAGCAATGACAAAGTTCGAAGATAATATCTATAAATATCTTTATATATATAAAGATGTACAACAAAGTTTCTTTTGTATCTGCCCCGTTGTCATCTGCAAGCCCTTTTTAATCATCTTCTTGGTCCTTCCCGGCTTCTTCATGTGAATATGAGCACACACAAATGTTTTCCCCTTCCTTACCCAAAAGGTCACCTCTTCCTTATTCTTTTTGTAGCTGCATAGTATTCATTTTGTGCACAAACCATAATCTATTAACCGAGTTGATGGATATTTACATTTTCAGTCTCTTGCTATTGTAATCAATACTATCGTGTTTAATGGCATCGCTATACCCAACATGTAATCTCATGTCCATGTCTGTTCCATGCAGGAAACCTGCAAGGTAAACTCCTAGAAGTGGGCTTGCTGAGTCAACGGGCATGTGCATTTCTCGTTTTTATACCCATTCCAAAGTGCCCCATGCTGGGCTTACCGACTTGCACACCCACCAGCAATACATGAGGGTGACTCATTCCCTAAAACTTTGACAACTATTTTCAAACTTGGGGATTATTGCCCACGTGACAGATGAAAAGCGGTGTGTCTCAGTTTAGTTTTCTTTGCTCCGTTTTTAAAAAATTGAGGCAAAACATACATATAGTAAAATGAACAGCTCAACAAATGTTAACATGTATGCCATCATCCAAATAAAGATAAGATTGCTCCCAGCACCTCAGAAGTCACCTTCATGTCCCTTCCCAATTAATACCTCCCCTAATCCTCACCCCTTAGAGCTAACTATTATTCTTCTACAGACATAGATCACTTTTAGTGTTCTCGAATTTAATGTACGTGAAATCGCACAATATATACTTAGCGTGTCTGGATTCTTTGTTTTTAAGACTTTTCTGTAGAGCAGTTTAAGGTTCCCAGAAAGATCAAGAGGTCTCCCATATACCCTCTGCTCCTACACATGCACAGCTTCTCCCGCTACCAACATCCCCCAGAGCAGGACATTTGTTAACAACTTTGGCACATCATAATCTGCCAAAGTCCGTAGCTCGCATTAAGGTTCATTCTCGGTGTTGTACATTCTGTGGGTTTGTATAATGTATAACACGTGTCCATCATTATAAAATCATAGGGAGCATTTTCACTGCTTTAAAAATCCTCTGTGCTCCACCCATTCATCTTCCCCAGCCCCTACCCCGTGGCAACCACTGGTCTTTTTGTCTCCACGGTTTTGCCTTTTCCAAATGTCGTAAAGTTGGAATTCCGCAGCATGTAGCCTTTTCAGATTGGCTTCTTTCACTCAGTAATATGCACTTAGGTTTCCTCCATGTCTTTTCACGGCTCAACAGCTCATTTCTTTCCAGCGCTGAGTCCTTGCAGTTAACATAAGAGATGACTCTAGTGTTGAGAGTAATGGAGGCTTTGTTTGTTTGTTTGTTTGTTTTTACCGCTATGTACTATTCCATTGTATGACTATATCTGCAATTCTTTATTTACCCTTTCTATTGTTGATGGGCCTTTGGACTTCATTTAGGTTTTTTATTAAAAAGCAGTTTTAGGTGCAATTGTTTCTAGGTTTTGACTAATAAATAACGCTACCGTGACCGTTCAGTGGACACATGAACTCACTTCTCTTGGCTGTATACTTAGGGTGGAGCTGATGTGTCACGGCACAGGGAATTGTTTAGCTCTGGTATCTACTGCTCACCACTTCACTAGAGTCATTGGTCCAATTTCCACTCCATCCAGCGAAGTATGAGAGTTTCAGTCACTACGCATGCTCCCCAACACTTGGTCTCGTCAATCTTTTTGACCATAGCTGTGCTAGGAAGTGTTTAGTGGCATTTCATGGGTTTCTTTTGAAATTAAAAATTGTTGATATAATTTCAAACTTACAGAAATGTTGCAAGAAGAGGACAAAGAACTCTGTACACCCTTCAACCATGTTTACGCATTAACATTTTTACCACATTCTCTCTCATATCTATATATGGCACAAAGGATTAGGGGTTAGGGTCAGGATTTTACCTCTACGTATAAATATAGATTTACATATAATTTTATATTTGTGTAAATTGTTATATATAAAGTGCTAAAGAACAAGGACATTCTCTTACATAATCACTATTAATTTTTCAAAATCAGGAAATTAACTGCTATCTAACCTATAGTATATATTCGAATTTCTTCAACTTCCGATTGTCCCAGTAACATACATTACAGTAAACATTTTTGTTTTCAGTTTAGGATCCAGTTCAGGATCACGAGTTGCATTTAGTTGTCACGTGTCTTTGGGATTTTTTTTTTTTTTTCACTTTGGCATTCTTAATCTAGAAGACGTCTTAAATTTAAATGACCTTAACATTTCGGACAGGCTAGTTATTTTGTAGAACGTCCCTCGATTTGGGTTTGTCTGATTCTCACCTGATCAGTGTTAGCATAATTTTCGTCAAATGCTGATTTTTTCCATCGCAGTTTTTTTAAATCATTTTTTACTGTGGTAAAAAAACCTGCAACGCAAAATTTGTCATTTTAACCATTTTTAAGTATGAGTCAGTAGCATTAATTACATTCACAATGTCCTGCAACCATCATTTCCAAAATTTATTCATTACCTCAAATAGAAACTCTGTAACCTTAAAACGATAAACTTCCCTAAGTGTTAACTTGTATCTGTAGCGTTTCTCAGTTTAAAAAGTGAGCTCACACCCATCATCCATATAATCCTCTCAAAGATGTCTCCATTTTATAGAAAGCGTATGGATTTTTTAAAGTAAGTATTCAAAATTGTGAAATTTGATCTGTCTTTCGAAAGCTATTGATATGCACAGGTGGGGTACCCGGAAGTAGAAACGAACTCATGCAATCGAGGCTACTCTGGACTCACAATCGACGGTAACATTCCTCACCGGGTTACGGGGGAGGGTACATTGTCTTCCGTGACACGGGTCACTACCAGATACTCAAAACAAAGATGAAGATGGTTCCGTGACTTAGGGAAATTTCGCGAGATCTAGTGCTGGCACGACTGTGATTTGCAAAAGTGGGTCCGTGCATTTTTTTGTTGTTGCAAAGTCTGGCTAACTGCACTTGCGTGAGCGCGTACACTTGCGTGTGTGATGCACACTCAGCTCTGGGAGCCGGCTCCCTCAGCCTCGGAGGGTGTTTGCTCCGGCACGGGTTAGGGTTAGGGCTCCGCTCCCTCGCCCTGCACTGCCAATTCGCAGCCGGGCTTGGAGGGGGGCGCTCCCTAAGCCACGCACAAGCCCGCTCCCGGGCGAGGTCCCCAGCGGCGCCGCAGCCCG